TGAACAGTAGGTAATAATTTCATATTTAAAGTACTTTCAGAAGTTTATTTTCTGAATATGATCTGACTTTTCCTTTAAGACACAAAGAGAAAAAACCAAACCAGTATAAACCAAAACCATCAATCATTCAGATTTTTCTTTATTTATGACTTTTCCATCACAAAGTCCAAAGACCTTAAAAACCCAACTGAGAGATTTGAAGGTTTATTTATTGAAAAATAATCTTGTGAGCTGCCCTGTGTGTTTGTCCTTCGTTCTCAGTGATGATCGCTGCGACGGATGCAGCCTCAGAGGTCTGAGAAATATCCGCCGCTGGAAGAAAGGATGGACAGCAGAGATAAGCTGGCTGTCCGTCATCCTCTGTCTGACTGCCGACTGGAGGGTGGATGCTGACCCGAGGTGGCCATCTCCATGACGACTCCATCATGGAGTGAATCCACACCCCCGTTATTACAGAGGTGAAGATTCAGAATAAATCAGTTGATGTTTTTTCACTGTGCAGATAATGTAAAGCTTTTTGTCTTCAGTCTGACCGCCGTCTGCAGCTGCTGCAGTCATCAGAATAAATTCATCAAACAGCAACTCTTTAAATTTATCCCACTTTGCTTCTTGTTAGACCTGTGTCTCATTATTATAGGCAGTCTCTGCAGAGCGCCACCTGTCCTCCAAGGAAGTCCCTGCAGGGGCAGAGGCGTCGGTATTTAGGAGAGTGACCCGCGCAGCTGAAGAGTAACGGCTCCCTCTGAAGACTGCACTCCCGCCGCATCACGGAAAAGGCTGGAAGGATGTGGTTGATCTCAGAGTCCACCACCTCGCACTGCACCTCCAACCTGAGGGGAAAAACAGCAATTATGGTTTAAACACAGGAGGAAACAAGAAATAAAAACCTGGAAAAATCCAATGAAACATTCAGCAAAGATTCAGAAACTATTTATTTAACGCTGCTTAATGAAACAAGTATTATTGCTATAAATCTATAAAGCTGAGAGTGAATGTTAGGAAGACAATCACAATACTGATAATATTAATAATATAGAAAGTTCATGTTTTTATACCATTGACCTGTTATTTGAGCTAAAATTATATTTAGAGAAAACGTTTAAAGCATGACAATTATTAAAATGGCTGATTTTCCTTTTTATGCATTTTCTGATAGCATATTTTAATCTAAATTACATTTAATGAAACCCATGTCATGTATACTGAATAATTCAAAACTACAGAGTCACACTTTCAATAGTATTATGCTGCGTTCACACCTACAGCAGCAGCAGCAGCAGGAGCAGCTGGTTTACATGCAGAGTCAATGGTTGATGCACATCAAGGTGCAGAAAAAGGTCCTGCAGCGTTTTAAACAGCTGACGCAGCACGTCGTTAGCGTCTGAGCATCAACCCAACATGCATCAGTTGAACCAGCGCCTGGATTTATGGGGCTTTGTATCAGCATGTGTTCCCATTATGCTACGTTCACACCTACAGCAGCAGCAGCAGCGGAAGTTTACATGCGAAGCCAAAGTTACAGAGGATGCTTGTGTTCCTGAAAGGGGAAAAAATGAATGAAAAGAGAAAAGAGAAAAAGAACCGGTTCACAGGATTTGTATTTTTCGTCTTGTTTAAAATGGGACCCCTGAGATTAATCTTTTTAAGTGCAGAATGTCACGTTAAAAAACGTTAACAAGTAACATTCATAATAGAAAAACTCAAATAGTTTATTTAAACAACAAAATAGATTGTAAAAAAAACCATTTAACTGCTCAAAAAGTAAAGCTTTTTTAAAGAGCTTCAGTCTTTTGGGAACTCGTCTGCCTGCACACTGCAAAAAACTGAAATCCAAGTAAGTTTATTTTCCTTAAAATAAAAGCGTTTTTTCTTGAATTAAGCAGTTAAGTGAGACACTTTGCCAACGGAATAAGACAATTTACATTTAAAATAAGAAAAAACAACTGCAGTCTCTTATTCAAAGTGCATATTATCTAATTATCTTATTTTAAGAGCAAAAATATTCCATTGGCAGATTATCTTCTTTACCTTCTCAAATTAAGGGTAAATACACTTAATTAAAGACATTTTTACTCATTTTTAGATTGTTTTTGCAGTGCAGCAGACCTGCTCTCTTTATGGTCGTCTGTTTAGCTGTGGGGGAGTCACTGAAAATCTCCCGGTCCTTTTTCACACCACAGTCTTCCTTTCTGTAGGACTGCTGGTATTTTACAGCGTGCTCCACCTTGCACAGCTCCGCTGAAGTTATTTTAGCATCCATGAAAAAAATCCCTCTGTGATGAGGTACCTGTTGCACGTTTATTACTTCTATGTTGATCTGTTCATGCCGTTCAAATCGCAGCTTTTCTTCGACTGCTAACGTCCACATCGCATCGACAAAGTGTGCAGAAGCCTTGGAATGATTCTGGACTACTTTTTGTTATAAA